TAAATCCTAATTTGTGTACAATTATTTCCTTTGGATTGGTAGTATAGCATGTTGTAATATGATATATATCTCAGTTTGAAAACTTCAGATTAATATTAAGGGGAGATATGGGGCCATATATGTGTATACTATACATAACTGCGCGTCGTTGACAGCCGACCCAATTATTTGGGTTTACGGCTAATGTAACTACTCCGTAGCCTTGTAATTTTGAACCCAATCCAGACGACAAGGGAACTCCTGGATCAAGTATTTGTAAGAAATTTGCCTTCGTGGAGATCTTAAACGCATTTGCGCTACATGGAGAAGATAACTAATAGAACCTCCCACAGTTAGCCTGACTGCAAGGGAACCCATGATCCGTCTACCACTGAGGATATTTTACCTCAGTCCCTTGGTCGGTTGGAGTGGGGTGCGGAATTCTTATCGAGCAGCCATCAGAACCCGGTTCACAAGGCGAACGTTCTATCCTCTGAGACATTACGACTCAAAAAAGAATCGCGAAGGCATCGGCGAGATTCGAGTTCCCCTGTTTACTAGACAGTCGCTTTAACTTACAATATCGTACAATAAATTTAAAAAAAATATTAATCTTAGATATAATTTTCAAGAACAGGCCATCGTCTGTAAAAAACCAGGGTCCTACGACGCTAGCAATTTGTTTTGCTCTATACTACTAAACAGTATCGGTCCATGTGGCCTACCTACTCATAACAAGCTTTTTAAGTAATTTCTGCGGTTTGTCAATGTAACCATGTTGGGCCACACTGTGGGTTCCCTAATTTGTCTATAATTATTTCCTTTGATATGGTCAGATATATCAGATAGGTAATGGTCAGGTATTAGGTTATAATATGTTAAAATCTAATACCGGACCGAGCTTGAAAATTATAGATTAATACTAAGGGGAGATATGGGGCTATATATATGTGCAGTATACGTACAACAATTTCTTAATTTTAACGCTCTTATTATCTCGTATTACGTATTATCTCGTTATACAGTAATATAAAAAAAAAAATATTAGTCTTAAACATAATTTTTAAAAATTGTACTTCGAACCTGGGGGCTCCGGCATTAGAAATTTGTTGCTTCAAACTGCTAAATTTTACTAATCAACCTAGTTGAGCGAATTATAGCAAGCTTTTTAAGTAATTTTTGAAGTTAGTCAATGTAACCATATTAGTCAACATTATGGGCCCCCTAATTTGACTGTATTTAATTTGGTAAGGTAATATAATACATTTATATCTAATATCTGATCGAGTTTGAAAATTAATTTTTTATATTAAAAGGAGATATGGGGCCATATTCCTGTACACTATATGAGCAAGCTTTTTAAGTCATTTCTGCGGTTTGGCAATGTAACCATATTTGGCCACATTTTGGGCTCCCCATCTTATCTATAATTATTTCCTTTGGTATGGTAAGATAATATTTTATCACATAATATTTGATAGAGTTTAAAAATTATAAATTAATATTGAAGAGAGATATGGGGTACGGTATATGAGCAACACATTTTTAAATTTAAATTTTCCTTATCTTACACACTTCGGAAAAAAAAATTCTAATTATTAAGCAAAGGAATATTTCATTTACGACATAATATTATGAAAGAAATTTGAATAAATACTCATCTCAATTATAGTTTTGAAAAATTGGCCTTTACCGAGATTCAAACCGGCATCCACCGGAGCTAGAATTTTATTGCTCTCTAAAACCTGCCGGTCCATTTAAAAAAGCTACTATAGTAATTTCTGTGGTTTGTCAATGTAACCATATATGACAAATTATAGGCCTCCTAATTTGTCAATGTATAATTACTTACTGTGGTATAGGAATATTTTAGATTATAATCTAATATCTGTGAACGATTTCGAAAACTATATGTTCATATGAAGTGGAGATGTGGGGCTACATAAATGTACAGTATATAAGCAAAGAATTTTTAATTTTAATACTTCTAATATCTCGTAACACGCACATAAGAAATTTTTTAAATTATCTAATAGAATATTTCATTTATGTCACGATATTGTAAAATAAGTGAAAATAAACATTATTAGTGTTAAACATAACTTTTAAAAATTCGCCGTCACCGCGTTTCGAATCTGGGTCCTCCGGCACTACCAATTTGTTGCTCCATGCTGCTAAACCCTAGCGGTCCACTTGGCTGACCGACTTATAACACGCTTTTTAAGCAATTTCTGAAGTTAGTCAATTTAACCATGCTAGGCAACATTGTGGGATTCCTACTAAGTACAGAATTATTTCCTTTGAGAAGAAAAATTATTAAATTGTAATATAATATCTGACCGAGTTTGAATAGATTAATTTGAAAATTCTTGGAAACTGCTTGTTTCAGACAAACTTTGTAATTTTAGACATATATATGCATTTAAAAAAAAAATTCTGTCAAACATTTTAAAGTGATATTAGTTTTAAAAGAATCACGCATTTCAAAAAGTTAAAAAAAATTCGCAAAGTGTCCTTTCCTTTTATATTCCGTTTTTGCGCTGGATATTTATTGTTTAAGACAAACTTAAACTGTTTAAAATATATTCGACAAATATTTTTAGGCATATAAAGGCATTTTCAGAAAATATGACGCAAGCACTTTATAGTGATGTTTGTTTCAAAATAATCGGTGTTTTCAAAAAATTAAAAAAAAAATCGCTAAGTGTCCTTCCTTCTTATATTCCGTATCTGAGCTGGATATTTATTGTTTAAGACAAACTTAAACTGTTTAAAATATATTCATATATTTTTTCACATATCTGGTCATTTTCAGAAAATATGTCACATTTTAATTTTAAACCAGTTTTTAAAAAATTCTTTATTTTGTCTAAAATTGAAATATTTTGGAATAAAATACCAAATTAAATATTTTATTTTCTCCAAGGAATGATAATTAAAGAGTGCATATAAAAAACACAATAGAATGGGCACTTAATGGCATTTTTTTAAATTTGTTGAAACTTTTATTCTTTTAAAACTTGTTTCTTGTTAAAAGCTGAGTGTTACATTTTCTGAAAATGCTCATGCATGCCTAAAAATACATTGAGAATAAATTTTAAATAGTTTCATTTTGTCCCAAACACAGAATTTCCAGTACAGATGCAGAAGCATGAAAAAAATTGATTTTTTGCGAATATTTTAAACTTTTTTTCAAAAGAGAGATTCTTTTAAAATTGATTAAATGGTAAAATATGCGCTTCATATTTTCTGAATGAAGAATGTATTTTAAATGATTTTATTTTGTCCCAAACATGCAATTTTCAACACAATTATGGAATATGAAAAGGACGGAAACTTGAAGAATTTTTTAAAGTTTTTTTGAAAAGTGCGATTGTTTTAAAACTAGTTTCATGTCAAAATTTTCTCATCATAACCTCAATGTCCATGTATGTCCAAATATACTTAAAGATACGGTCAAGTATTAGATTATAATAATATATAAGCTAATATAATATATAAGATAATATGTAGCCATAACAAAGGAAATTATTATAGACAAATTAGGTGGCCCACAATGAGGCACAGTTACAAATATGGGGGTTGTGTCCCACAATTGTTCTATTGAAAGATAGCGGTAAATTATTTCAAAAGCTTGATATAACTCTTCCAGCGAAGCGAGACCGGTTGGATTTGGTGAAAGGAAGCAATAATTTAATAGTCCCAAGAATCCGGGGTTCATTTCTCAGACATGGTTATTATTTAAAAATGGGATGATTACCTAAAAAGCATAACAATAAAAAACAAATTTAAGTACTTTCTAAGGTTATTTTGCATCATAGTTCAAAAAGTCACGATGCTCGGTCAAGGTAGGTAGGTATTTCATTTACGTCGTACTAGAGCTGTACAATGGGCTATTGACGACGGTCTGGGAAACATCCCTGAGGCTGATGTGAGGACGTGCCATCACAATTTTGCTCCTCTGCAGAGAGGATGGCACCCCTGTTGATGCTCGGTCGAAGGCTACTCAGAATAACAACACTTAAATTATGAAAACAGACTCAAAAAGCAGGAAAATAAAAGCACATTTTATAGCAAAAAATAAATAAATAAATAAATAAAATATGCATGAAATTTCAGAATGGGGAAAAGATTTTTTCTCCTTGCTCCCATCCCGTTAGTCTTGCTCACTCTTAAGAGGAAGCCATACCGCGGAAGAAAATTTTCGTCGCAAATTCTTTCTATCCTTCACTACTACGTTAAAATTTAAAAGAAGGAAAAAGTAAGTTCGGGCAAATCTAGAGTAAGTCATGAAGTTAAAATATTAAAGTCAAAATACTAAAATGCAAACAAATTATTAGAAAAGAGAACTTCTCCGTTGCGTAATCCTAAGTTATCATCTCATAGTTTATTTTCATTTTAAAATTTTCTTTTCAGTATTTGAAACTTCGTGGCTTACTCTAGGTTTCTCCGAACTCAAATTTTCTAAACTCTAAATTTAAAATTAGTATTGAAGGAAAAAGAAAATTTGCAACGAAAATTCTCATCAGCGGTATGACGTCCTTTTTAAGAGCCTTCTGGAGGGCCAGATGTTGGTTGAGCAGGAGAAGATTTTCGATGTTTTCAGAAGGCGGATTTTTTTGGACCTGGTGTAGTCTTTCCTACACCAGGGGAATAAGTACTAACAACAACAACCAAGTATTAAAAAAATTGAAGTGAAATTCGTTAGAGAAAAGCAAGAGAAACCGTGATAGCTCATAGGACGGAGGTGGACATAGCAATCATATATGTGCTAACTATATTAGCCGAAATAAATTTTATATGTTATTAAAATATTAAAAAAATAAATTACTTATATATAACTAATTTGAAGGATAAAAATCAATATCATTGAAAACGTAATAATTAATAAGCGATAACAATTAATATACGAAAATGTTATAATTAATAAACACATTTAAAAAAGACATTTCGTAAAAACTATTTAAAATATCGCGAGTCTCTGAAAGGGGAAATAAAACGTTCAAGAAAGAATACTGCAATTACATATTGGGACAATTTATTGCATATAACTAATTACACATTTCAGATATATACATTTAATACATTTCACAGATTATTGTACAGATATTGTCAAATATTTATAAACTTCAAAAATATAACTAAATGGTATATGATATTCTCCATATTATCCAACACTCAACAGAACGTGTGATAAGTTGAAAAAGTGAGGAAAACAAAAACAATTCATACTATTCAATTTCAAACATAAAATTGATGTAAAAATTAAAATTGAAAGCATCATTGCAAGAGGATGACAAAGCTTTTTTTTCTTTCTTTTTTTCAAATGAGTTTTCTTATATTGCCTCAAACCACAGTTTTTAAGAAGCAACTGATAAAAAAAGCTCTCTTATTTGCCGCAAGATGGCGCCACACGTTCTCCACAACTTGGCAAGGCACATCAAAATGGCTGATGAGTTAAACTGACTTTATTATCGTTAAAACTGGATGAAAAAATCATCTTGAACATATTAAAATCTCAAAAATGTAACCTAGGCAATGTATAATGGTTGTTTCTTAATACGGGCACTACTTCTTTTTACGCAGGTAACTTATGCTCGCTCATACAATCGATTCCTTAAAACAGCGAACCATCTATATTTATTTATTTAATATCAGTATATATATTTTTCAGCTTAGAGTTTGGTCTAAGTTTCAACTAGGAAAACTAAGTTTAAATGAAAATTATGCTACAATTTTAATGATTTTTTTTCTTCAAAATCTATGAATATAATAATGCTTTTTAAAGTTTTTATGGATATATATTTTTTTTCATAAAATCCAGAATTTAGAAGGAAAAATATCAAAATATGACATTTTATCATAAATAAATTTGCATCGAATAACTTATTTCTCAAGAATTTCTATCTTGCATTTTTCGAGATTTTATTAATTCAGTATATTTTCTACTGGTTTAACAAGTTGCAGGAGAATTGATTTTCCTCATTTTTTGCATATTTCTGCTCGGTGTATCACTTTAATTTACAAAAATGAATAAGTAACTAGTTTTCAATTCTGAAAAAGTATCTGTACGTATAACAATAGGAATCTTTCAATAAAGGAAAACAAACAAATAAATTACATTAAAAAATAAAAACAAAAAGTACGAATAAAAACAAGTCAAAATAATATAAGTATAGGAATGAAACTGCATTTTATATTCTAAAAATAGTTCAAATTTCATTGGATACATAGTATTTTGATTAAGTTGACACTTTTTTTTTAATTGAAAAGCTTTAGTGTGAAGAATATGGAAAGTCTCAATATCACACTGTTTAAAAATGTAAAGGAAGATGTTAACTAACTATATTTTTCCAATAAAACAGACTTATAAAAATGTTTGGCAGAATAAGTTATATTTTATACTTACAGTCCACAAAGCAAGTTTTCAAAATCGGAATGTTTTCGAGTTCACACTTAACAGGTTCTTTCCCTATGATTTCCATTAATCAACATTGAGTGAATATGCTATTTGATTACATTGGTTTATTGCGAAAGGCAAAGAAAAAATTTTATTATAGTTTTAGTTTTTCCTGGGAAATTTCCGTATCAGTACCTGCGTCAAAAAAGTCACCAAATTTTGGCGACAACCAGACAGTGGCGCAAGAGGAACTGAGAAAATAAAAAAATAATAAAAACTCAAAAGAAGACCAACTGGTAGAACTCGTAACAACTCCTATAAAAAAAATTTTAAATTTTTCAAAAATTTTGTTAGTACAAATTCTCCTTGGTGCCTTGGCGATAGTAGTTGGCGAGAGCAGGTACTGATAAGAAAATATTTCTGTTTTTATTTAGTTTTTTGGGATGATGATGGATTCTTTTTGCTCTGGCATATGGGATTTCATTGGTAAACGGAACAAACAAGCAGTTAATATTTCTTAACGAATGTTTCTAATGAAGGAGTCGAAATGACACATCTGTGCATATTCCTGGTTCTTACTGTTAAGAAGGAGCTGAGGGTTGAGAAGGAATCTGAAGAATTCGAAATATTACTCTTCTAGACGTCATCCAGTTGGAAGTGTTATCAAATTTTGTTATATCTAAAATAAAAATAAAAATAACTCATGACATAGGTATACATAAAAAGAAAAGAAAAAAATAACAAAAGATGTTCAATCAACGGCTGGCAAAAATCATGTAATTGAAATTGTGGAAATTTTGTCAGAAAAATAAAGCTAAAAATCTATTCTCAAATTACTATTTAGACGAGCAACAGCAATACCATTTTCAAAGTCAAAATTCTTGATGGTTCCATTTCAACATTTGATGATTTAGCAAACAACATTTGATGTTTGTTAAACATTTTGAAACACATTTTGATGTTTTATGTTGGCTTCAGAGCAATTCATGATGGTCACCATCATCCAACATTTTCCATTATGAGTTCATGGCTTTCGATATGCCAACAAACTTCCATCATTCCATGATGGAAAATGCTACTTTAATACTGCGACGGTTAACCATCTAGAGAAGTTTGATTCTCATGAACCAAAAATCCATGATGATCCGTGATGGTTCCAACAATACATTTCCATGATGGTTTAATGGGAATTCTTGTTGATTCTCAGGAAAATACCATCAAAACAATTTTTTTTTATGTTGGCCCATCAAAAATCAGTCCGAATTCCTACATTGAGGAAACAGTTGCTCATGATCGTTCCAACATTTGATTTCTAAAATACCATGATGGAAATTTCTGATGGTTCACAAACCATCAAAACTAGTTGCTATTCTTATGTTGGACTACCATAAATCGGTCCGAATTGCTACATTGGGGTGATGGTTAATTATGTTAGTTACCATCCAAAATATAATGGTTCATGGTGGAATTATTGATGGTTACCATCAAGACAATGTTGGTCCATCAATGGAAAACCGTCAGAAATTTTGACTTGGGCAAACTCTGATCATGCCACCACCTTTTATGTCAATAAAAGCTAAGGAAAGGTTAAAATCAGTTCTAAAAAATTTTTGCCAGAAGAAGCAGGTGCTGTGAGGAAGAAAGGGGGAATTTAAAATTATCTAAGATAAGTTTCGATCAATATTCATCAAATCATCTGAAATTATCAAAGTTTTTTTTTCCTTAAGTTTCTTTGTTTTATTTTATGGTAACTTCCTTAATTTGTCTCTTCATTTACATAACAATTTTAAATATTTTTATATAATAATTTTTCCTTCTTCTAAGAAACTAATTTACAATGTGAAGATTTCTGAACTATTCTTTAATAAAACTTATGCCTTCTCAAGACAAAATTTTTGATAGTTTTCCATTGATGGACCAACATAGGTAACCATCAGTAATTCCCTCATGAACCATTATATTTTCTAATGGTAACCAACATATATAACCATCACCCCAATGTAGGAATTTATGATGGTCCAACATAATAACAACTTGTTTTGATTATTTGTTCATGTTGAACCGTCAGAAATTTCTCTCATAGTTTCTTAAAAATCAAATGTTGGAACGATCATGAACCACTATCACCCCAATGTAGGAATTCGGACTGATTTATGATGGGTCAACATAAAAAAGGCCAAATTGTTTTGATGGTATATTCCTGTTGAATTAACAAGAATTTCCATTAAACCATCATAGAAATGTATTGCTGGAACCATCATGAACCATCACACACCATCATGGATTGTTGGTTCATGAGAATCAAACTTCTCTTGATGGTTAACCATCATAGTATTAAAGTAGCATTTTCCATCATGGAGGGATGGAAGTTTGCTGGCATATCAAAAGCCATGAGCTCATACTGGAAAATGGTGGATGATGGCGACCATCAAACGATGTTCGGTTATCATGAATCGCGCTGAATCCAACAGAAATCATCAAAATTTTTGATGGGACCATCAAGAATTTTGTCTTCGGTTGAAGTGCTTTAAACAATTATATAAATGTCCATATCAGTAACTGTTTCCTCCATTTACCTACTATTATACCTAGAAACAGCTATAAAGGAATAAAATGTCATTTTCGTAGTTTAAAAATAGAAATGTATTATTATTAATTCGCTATGGATCGTAAAATAATAATTATTAATTTCGCAGTTGGGGTTAAATGTATTGGTTGGTTGGTTGGTGTCGTATCCTCTATTGAATCATATTTCACGGTGTGCTTGAATAGTTTTTGTTATTTCTATGGCATTAAATGAATACAAATCCTCTTCTGTGGGGTAGTTTAAGAGGTGAAGGCCTACAGCGACTGCAGGGCAGTTAAAAACATGATATGGTGTCAGTTCCACATTAAGACAGTTGCCACAGTTTTGATATTTTCTAGTCTTATCTGTAGAAATTTTCATGTTTTTATGATGTTTTGTTCTTAGTCTGATGAGAGTAGTGGCTGTCTTCCTATCGATGTCAAGATTAGTTATTTGATCGTGGGCTTTGATTTTTAAAGGGGTGAATAGTCTTGACTTTGCAAAAGCATTTGCATCTGCCAACGTGGTTGGGATTGAATTTTGATTTAGATCTCTGGCATTTTTAGCCAAGGAATCAGCTATTTCATTGAACTCTAGGTTCACATGGTGGGAATCCACTGCAAGAAACATTTTTTCCGGAGACGATGAAGTTCAAGTTGTTCTATGATATTCAGGATTAGGCTTGAGGTATCTTTGCTGATGACCTGTAAAGCAGACCTGCAGTCGAAAAACATCATGAAGAGGGGGGGATTGCCAGAGCCTCCGAAGAGGTTGGACTTCTGCCTGTTGGTCCGCGGGAGGTATTTTATTTCCCTCCTACCACCCAAAGGAGACCACAATTACTCTCAAACATTAACAAAGCTAGCCTTCAGTTTGTTAGTACTACTACGAGCAGATTATGGTAATTTTTTTTCAAAAATATAAAAAGGATTTAAAATTATAAATTGAAAGATAGTTATATGCTTACTAAGTTCCTGAAACACGAAAATATTCCTCACTAAAAAATTTTGGATTATTGCTCCGGCCCCACAACACCCCTATTTAAAACTAGAAGAGAAACAAAAGTTTAATTCAGGATGACGATGCTTGGACGGGACAAATCAAAGTATGAAATTGATTTAAATAAATTTTAAGATGAAAAATTTCAAAATAATAAGTGAAAATGGAAAAGCGCTAAAAGTAGCTAAAACCAAATTTGTCTCATGTAAACAATTTAAATAAAAAGTTGGAAATCAAAAACAATCAAAAACGAAATTCTAAAGATGTGCATGTTATCAAAACCAGCATTTCATCAGGGGACACACTGTCTGCTAACGCACTGGAGTCTTTCTGTAGTCAGTGGTTAAACCAAAAACTGACTGTGAACAGAGGCCCCATAATGAAAAAACTAAATAAGAAAATGCAATTCCTCATAAACTGAAATAAAGATGAGTATCCAAAGCACCTAATCATTGGGTATTCATCTTTATTTGAATTTTTGAGGTATTGTATTTTCTTATTTAATTTATACATTATGAGGCGTGGATTTTAAGTCTTGTCAAGACTTTCTTTGCAAGATAATAGCTACAGAATAATACTAAAACCTTTTCCAGATTCAAACTGTGTGTATATCCTCTTTGTGGCATTAGATCGGGCAAATAAACTGAAATATTTTAAATATTAATAAACTTTTCTAATAGTTGCCCATTTAGCGAGATTTTTCCATCTTGATAAAAAAAAATCAAAATCAATGAATAATTCAAACTTCTTTCAAAGTCTTTTGAACCCAGAAGCATTGGAGAAAATTTTTTGATATTAAAAAAATTGTAGCACAAGGTCTATTCACTTTCCCAAAAGTGTGACTTTCTTCCTATTGAGGTTTTGCGTCATTTTCAGAGTTAGCCTAGAGGGCGCTTGGTAAACTTGATCGAACAATTAGGACTAACTTTTCCAAACTCACTGCAATTATATAATTAAGTATATTTACTGTTATGCGATAACTATATATTTTATTCGATTGTGAAGTAAATTTAGTTCATTATTTATAAAATTAATGAATTACTTTGAATGAATCTTCGAAAAACCACTTCAAGGAATTAAATAAAATAAGTGTACTCACATATTCCTGGCCATGGACACTCATATTCGTCGTCAATGGGTGAGATATGAGTTTGGAGTTTAACACACGGACTCACGAGCTTTACATTGCATCTCTCATCTTGCTCGTTTAGATACTCATTTGGTAATGGAATCTCGGGTCTATAAGAAAACAAACAATTAAGTACAGATAATGCACAATGTCCGAAATATAAACTAGGTCAAGTTAAGTACCACTGCCCGGTATGCCCTACATCAATGTATTTTTCAGTTCAAGTACCACTGTCCAATATGCATTTAACTGGTATTTCCAACATTGATATTTCTCCTAATCTGTCCTCAGCAGATATTAAAATATCGAATAAATATTATAATATCAACGAATAAATTAATATCAAATCGGATATCACAAATATTTCAGACATTCATCAAAGCGACAATGTGATTGCTGACATTCACCGGTGAAAGTCGACATTCTCTTGATTTCGGCCATTCACGGTAACACACACACACACACACACGCACACACACATATCTATCTATACATTTTTCCATGTCATGCAGATTTGAAATAACGTCACACTTTATTATTCTTTGCTGCACCAAAAACCAATTATAAATTTAATATTATAAAATTACAAAAACGTACTTTCTCTGAGTAGACATTCTTTTTCCCGAAGGTTTCGAATTTCAGACCCCTGAAATAAAGGGAGCAGTGCAATCTGGAAAATAGGGTCCCAATTGTTTGGTTGGGAGAGCGGCCTAAAGTTTGGACCCCTTAATGTTAATTTTACTTTTTGAGCATTTCGCTATATCTCGAAAGCATTTAAAGCGAATTGAAAAAATTTTGCACACAATTATAAAATTCGTTTACTTACTTACTTACTTATCCTCTACGTGCCTTTTGGCACTTAAGGCCTCTAGCATATCCCTCCATCGCCTCCTGTCTCTAGCAATAGATCTTGCTTCCTCCCAGCCAGATATTCTACATTCTTTTAATTCGCCCACAAACATGCGCTGGATGGTAAGTCTGGTTCTTCCTCTTGTTCTTTTACCATCAGGGGCCCATGTAAGCGCAACAGATGTAATTTTTTCTTTGGGCATTCTAAGGATATGTCCGAGCCAGCTCCATCTTCGTTTTTTAATTTCATCTTCTATTGTTTTTATTTTAGCTTTCTTTAATAGATTTTGACTTGATACTTTGTAAGGCCAGAAAATTTTAAAAATAAATCTTAAACATTTGTTTTGAAAGGTTTCTAATTTTTGTATTTCGATCTTAGTCTGTTTCCAGGTTTCTGCGCCATATAATAGTACTGCTCTAACAATAGCTTTGTAAACAACTATTTTTGTCTTTATTTCAATATTTGACTCTCTCCAAAATTTATGTAATCCCTTAAAACATGTTCTTGCTTTGATTATTCTCTGTCTAATATCTTCACTACTTCCACCTTTTTTTTATTTTATCTACAATAGAACCTAAATAGCTAAATGACTCTATGTCATCTATTTCGTGATTTTCGATTTTAATTTTGTCATCATTCTTTTGATTTATTCTCATTACTTTAGTTTTCTTCTTGTTTATGAATAAACCTACACTATTTGAATATTTGTTGAATTTGTCTGTTTTAAGCAGAAGGTCTGTACATTTGGATGAAAAAAGTACAATGTCATCAGCAAATTCAAAGTCTTCTAAAGTAGTTGTGAAATTTCACCTTATTCCTCTTTTTTCATCTTTCAAGCTGTTTCGCATAATCCAGTCTATCACCAGTATAAAAGGTATGTTTATTCAGAGAAAGTACGTTTTTGCGTCTGATTTCGTACCTTAAAATATCGTCTCCTATTATTAATTAGCATATTTGAGGTCATCCCTTCGAACCATTAAGAATGAGTCCTAGAAGATCCGATCATTAGATCAAAAGTGGTCCGTTTTTTATTTTGCGCACTGTACATTGGTGCAAATTTAAAAAAATGTACAGGGAGCAAAACATATATGCAAATCGTTCAGCGAATCTTATTAACAATAAAAGCCTAGTGAGCCGTGATGGCTCAGGAGATAGAACGTTCGCCTTCCAATGAGGTGAACCGGGTTCGAATCCCAGCAATGAGTGGTCGATACGAATTACTTGCACCGACCACGGTGCTGACGTAAAAAATATCCTCAGTGGTAGATGGATCATGGTTTAGAGTCCCCTTGCCGTCGGGCTAACCATGGGAGGTTTTCGTGATTTCCTCTCCATGTAACGTAAATGCCGGTTGGTTCCATCAAAAGTCCTCCACAAAGGCAAAATTTCTCCCAATACTTGATCCACAAGTTCCCTTGTCTTCTGTATTGGGTTCAAAATTACAAGGCTACGGGGTTGAACATTAGCTGCAGTAAATCCAAACAATTGGGTCTGCTGTTCAACGATGGTTATAAAATAAAATAAAAGCTTAGCAATATTATGTTTACGTATACATTTTTAGAGTGGTAAAAAATCTTATTGTATATGACTTTTAGAGGATTCAAGGAATAAGCCACAGCAACAGAGTGGTTAAAAATGATGGCATTGGTTTGGAGCTTTTCTTATGTCCCAGGATCTAATAATAATTAGTAATTTATATAACTTACTGGCAACCTGGTCGAAACGCTCGATAAAGAAGGGCACCAACGATGGATCCTCCTTCTGAACGGATTTCAGCTCTAATCCGGGTATTTGCTTCTCTTAAAACCAGAGCATAGTTGTAGGAAGATCTTGCTCCGATCCACACATCCTGTACTCCCGGATCAGAAGGATCGAGGGGAGGCTTGTTGCTAAGGTAATATTCGAAGGGTATCTTCCCACCGAAATCTATCTGTAAAAAAATACTTCAGTTTAAACTGCTAAAGCTGAAACGGATCTTTTTTTTTGCTAATAAACTAAAAAATAATATAAATAAGAAAAGCTCTTTCACACAGAATATATTGCTGAGCTTAAATATGTCATTCAATGTATGTAAGTCAGCGATTAAAATAAAGGGGAGGGTGCTTTTTGAGATTATAGTATAAATATAACTTTTCCTACCTTGTTTTTTTTTTTTTTTTTTTTTTTTTTTTTTTTTTTTTTTTTTTTTNTTTTTTTTTTTTTTTTTGTAAACGACTTGTTTGGAATCGTCTAGGTAGGAATTCTTAAAGCAACCATAAAAATTGAATGAAATTAATAACGAGCAGATATAATCTCGTCTGCAATTCCTACAAGTTAAAATTATAAAGAAAACACGAAAATAATATAATAAAGATTAATGAAAGGAGAGGAAGAAAAAATATTAAAATTAATGTCATTTAAAAAAATCTTAAAAAGCAGGAAAAACAATATATTGAAAATATGTAATCTCGTCGTCAACTNGTCATTCAATGTATGTAAGTCAGCGATTAAAATAAAGGGGAGGGTGCTTTATGAAATTATAGTATAATATAACAGTTTTTTCCCCCGGCTTTTCCTACCTTGTATTTTTTTTGTTTTTTTTTTTGTAAACGACTTATTTGGAATCGTCTAGGTAGGAATTCTTAAAGCAACTATAAAAATTAAATGAAAATAAGAAAAATTAATAACGAGCAGATATAATCTTGTCTGCAATTCATACAAGTTAAAATTATAAAGAAAACACGAAAATAATATAATAAAGATTAATGAAAGGAGAGGAAGAAAAAATATTAAAATTAATGTCATTTAAAAAAATCTTAAAAAGCAGGAAAAACAATATATTGAAAATATGTAATCTCGTCGTCAACTCACAAGATTATATTCGCAAAATGGAGTGCTTTCTAATCATGTATCAAGATAGTCAAAGCACAGTATATAAATACAATAGTGTGAGGAATGAAGTTTAAAATGAAAATAGAACATATTAAGTAAGAAATATACGAAATAAAGCATATTAAGCAAAAAATAGAAAATGAATTTAAGGAAAATATAGACTAAACATTTAAATGTAATCTATAAAGCGAGTAGCGAATTTAAATGAACTCCGTAATTTTTTAAGAATGATTTAAAATATTTTCGTAGTAGGTTTGCCAGATTGCAAAATATGAAAATAGAGGGATCTTTTATGGTGCGTTCTTACTGCAGCACTGATGCGCGTTTGATTTGTTGGTTACCTTGGATTGGAACCATAATGGATGTGCGAAATGTAATATTATACTGGATAATTTAAAGCTTATAATTAATTCTTAACGTATTCTTTTAATTCTATTAATTTGATTAAAAATGATATTTAAATAAATCGTTTTAGAAGCGTTAGAATTCCGAGTAATTAGTTTATTTATATTACAATTAAACTCATTTCTTTCATCCTATAAAGCAACAATGCAGATTCCTTTTTAATACCTAAATCCAAAAAATTTTAATTAATTTTATTACGAAGCAATAATTCCTCGTGGCAAATAATATTTAACAAAATTTTATAATATTGAAAATTAAAAATAATTAAATCATCAAAAAATCTAAAATGAAGTTCAATATTAAGTGTACAATTTTTTTCATCATAAGGTAAAAATATGTTAGATAAGAGAGATGAATTAGAATTTCCCAATAATCAAAATCGCAATTACGGAAATTTTTTAAATCACAGTAATAACTTAAAAGAACAGCTTATAGTTTTAGAAAAGGGAATGCTATTAAGAGATCCTAGAAATCAAAAGAAGAAATAGAATTAATTTTATTTTTTTTAATACATTCTAAAATCGGTTGATCGTTGGCGATAATCCAAGAAAAACCTTCTTTAATATTATTGTTAATAATTTTATTTAAGTAGTTAGAAAAAATTATGCTAGGTTTAGTTAGGTATATATTCGACTTACATGCGATTGTTCGAAATTTAAAAGGAATTTTAAAATAATTCGTTCTTGTAATTAGGTAAGGAAATTGTATATTGCTAATTTTAATTTTCAACCTCCTATATAAAACTAAAATATTTTTAATGATAATATTATTATTTAAATTACTAAGCTTAAATTTTATACTATTTTTTAAAGTCATTACTCAAAAGTTCAACATAGAATTTTTTACAGAAGATTGCATTATTATTGTTAGCTTTGTCTATGGGGGTAATTGCCAAATTTTTTTGTAGTTGCTGAATTGATTGAACAATTTTAGAACAATTTGTTGAATTGTTACTGTTATTTGAATTATCCTTATTATTGAAAACAAAGTTTTTAAAGTAATAATAAGCATAATAATAGCATATCTAAAGGTGAAGAGAATCTATTTGATATCTTTAAAGAAAAACTATTAAGATCATTAAGAAAGTGTTTTAGAAATTTATTAATTGATATATAGTTAATGGGTCGAAAATGTGTGCCCTTTATCTTTAAATTTCTAAGTTCTAAGTTTTCTATACTAATTAAATTTCCAGTAATAATATGTTTATGATATTTATCAACAAATTCAAAACATTTCTCTTTTTCCCTGTGACATTCATAATCGGATATATTAATTTTCCCTAAATTTTTGCTAATAACATTATAATTAAAAATAGTTCTAAAAAGAGATTTGTTATATTTATAGCATTTAACTATGTTAAAATCCTGCAATGGAAATAGAGTTTTTAAATTTTCGAAAATATTAGGAAATTTAATTTATCGAAAATACTGTTTTGAAAATTAGTAACAAAATATAAATTATCTAAATTTTTCTTTTAATTTGGTGAAATTTCACTCATTTTAGCTCTTACAGCATCGAAACAAAGAATTTAGAAGCGTTAATTAATAAAAGAAAAGTTAATTATAAGATTTGGAAGCTCATATTCGTTGCCGTGAATGACCGAAATCAAGAGAATGTCGACTTTCACCGGTGAATGTCAACAATCACATAGTCGCTTTGGTCATTGTCCAAAATATTTCATATATCCTATTTGATATTAATTTATTCATTGATATTATTATATTTATTCGATATTTTAATATATGCTGAGGATTAGGAGAAACATCAGTGTTCGGAATACTGGTTAAATGCATACTAGGCAGTAGCACTTGAAATTAAAAAAACAATGATGCAGGGCATATCCGACAAATGTATACCAGGGCAGTGGCACTAAACTAGACATGGTATATATTTCGGACATTTACCAAAGCGACTATGTGATTGTCAACATTCAACAACTACCTAATTTCGGTCATTCACAGTAACATATATGTATAAATATCTATTTAAGATAATGAAAAGGATAATGCAATTAAAAAGGAAAAAACATCTTATAAAGGAAAAGAAGAAAAACTATCTAAAAAAAAAAAAATTTGTTTCAAAAATTAAAAAAAAAATTATGAAAAAGTCAGAAAGCAAAACAGCAAAAAGATAAAATTTTGAAGTTGGCAAACACTATTATATCCGCTGTTTTCTTCTAACATAGTATTAACACAGTATTAACATAGTCAGAGCAAAATACATTAATATATGGGTGTGAGGAACACTAAAAACATCGATACAAAAATAAAACATATCAAGCAAAAACACAAAAAATAAGAAAAGAAAAATACAAAATGAAACACAAAAATCATCATATAAAGCTAGTAGTGAGATCAGACGTTCAGTCACTAACTGGCATCTTATAGAAATAATTCAAAAATATTTTCGTCACTAGTTTGCTAATTTGCAGAGTATAAAATTAAAGCATAAACAAAGGATAGTGGGATATATTTTATGGCGCGTTCTTACTGAAGTATAGAACCGAATTTGATTTCTCTGTTACCTTGGATGGGCCCGAAACTGGATTTGCGCTAGGTAGTTATTAACTGTATATTATTAACATTATTAACTGTATATTATTAACATTATTAACTGTATATTATATGTAACTGCATATTATTAACTGTATATTTAAAAGTTTTATAATTGATAAAAGGTCGAATTTTACTTATAAGATTTTATTTCTGATGATTTTTAGAGAAATCGTTATCATTTATTGAAAAATTCCTTTGTTAAATTTTGTAGCCATCTATTTGTCTAAATTGGATTTGAACATAAAAACATTAATTTAGAGAACAAAAAAATGTTTCGTGGAAATAAAAATTCTATCATAACGTACAATTAACTCAATGATTTAATAATTTAATTATATTGGATTTAATAATTTAATTATAGTTAATTACATTATATTTAATATATTAAATATATTCATTGTTTATAATCAAATTTTGGAGGAGTTTGCCTCGGCGCTTTTTGCATAAATAAATACATTATACTCTCGATTTCTCAAAGTTGAAGGGACACTAAAAAAAATTTCGAGATAGTGAGTTTTCGAGATATCAAGTTCAGAACTCAATATGTTTTAAAAAGTAGAAAAGTATATTCTAAAATATTACTCTAAAAAGTAGAGTCATGAAACATAAGAATAATGATCATGAACATTATGATTTTTCCGAAAAAATTAGTTTTCTATTTAGATAAGGTGTTGAGAAGAAACCCTTCGACTTTGGAATTCAAGTTAACATTAGGTGGATATACATATATCTATGCCAAGAGAAAAAAATATTTTTTTGACATGACAAGGTTTTCGAGTTATCGAAGTTCGAGATATAGAGAGTATATTGAATTACAGCAAATTCTTTTAATTATTTTTGTTTTATTAAAAATAGTGTTTAAATAAATGCTTTTAGAAATATTTGAATTCCACGTAATTAGTTTATTTATGAAATCATTTTTTTTTATAGTCAACAATAAACAGTTTGAATATGGCAATTAAAAAAGTGATAAAAAAAGGACTCACGAATTCTGAACACATGGGATCACCTTTGCTGTCCACTCTTTTACCGCCAAGAAAGACTGGAAGTTGATCAGCATCGATGTATTTCAATAGCAACTGGGAAGAATTTTCTATTCAAAGAACAAAAAAAAAATTTATATTCGGTTTGAATTATGAGATTTCGCACATTTACGTAAGATTTGAAACAACTGCGCGTGCTCGCATTTATTTTACGTTTTATTTATTGCTACGTATCCTTACGTTCTGTTGGCGTGGTCAAAGTCAAAGCTCCAAGCACGCTGAAAACAACATTCAACAGCTATAAGCTGTTGAATGTTGTTTTCTGTTTAAGCCTACTTTTTAACTTAGAACATTGACATGGAATGGGAATTTGAAGAAATATATTGATGAAATTTAGAAATAAATCGCGTGATATTACAACAATTCGTTAAACGAAGACATCGTCTACGTCAATTTGTAATGTTTGAGCCGTGATGGCTCAGGGGATAGAGAGTTCGCATTCCAATGAAGTGAACCGGTTTCGAATCCCACCGATGGCTGGTCGATACGAATTCTGCATCCGGCTTGCACCGACCACAGTGCTCACGCAAAATATCCTCAGCGGTAGACGGATCATGGATTAGAGTCCCCTTGCCGTCAGTCTAAACATGGGTAGTTTTCGCGATTTTCCACTCCATGTAACGCAAATGCTGATTAATTCCATCAAAAAGTTCTCCACGAAGGCAAATTTCTCCCAATACTTGATCCAGGAGTTCCCTTGTTTTCTAAATTGAGTTCAAGATTACAAGACTAAGGAGTGGAACATTAGTAGTCGTAAACCCAACGAATTGGATCGGCTGTTCAACGACGGTTATAAAATTTGAAAAAAAAAATGTATTGTTTGTTTTGATTTTTTAGTCAAAGTTAAAACGACATTCCACTACGCTAGTGTTTTGAACTTACAGATTTTTGCGAAATCTTTTATTTCAGCTGACGTAAGTTGGATTTTTTTCACGGGCGCATGCGTATTTCACCAGAATAGACGTATGCGGACTAAGAGTGCGCATGGGCAATTGCTTAAACACCTGCTTATGGGAGCTAACGTAAATTTGCGAAATTTCCCTAATGACAAGAATAAGTTTGCTGCTTTTAACAACAAAACTAATTTCACGGGAGAAGCTTAATAAAGAATTTTTTTGTACTAAAATGTTCTTGGTTGGTCACAAAATATTCTATTGCAATTGTGAAATAACATTACTTAATTTGTCAATTTAAAAAATAATTAGAACAAGGAGGTGACCCGTTTTAGGACAAAACCTTAAAACGAATACTTTACATTATTTTTAACAAGCGAAAATATTAATAATTTGATATTTAGAAATGAAAAAAGTATTTAGTATAGTCTTAGACTCTATATTCGTGGATATTTGGGTAGAATTAAAAAGTATTTGGATTATGACTATAAGGCAACTTAGAAAATTATTCATAGAAAGACAAAACTCATTTGGCTTATATTGCAAAAACTTTTTGGATGTTTGCAATTTCCTTGCATTTCATTGCAACTATTCCAAAATGTGCTTCTTTATTTGTTACGGTGCACTTTTAAAGTACTTTTTTTGTACAAAATAAACATTAATTTGAATAAACCACCAAAGAAAGGAAATACTTCACCAGATGTAGTTCTTTGATAAGTAAAATTGCTATAATGTGACACAAGAAACTGCTGTTACTCTTTTCTATAGGAGCACTATGATAACACATTTTTCTTACAATGTTCCACCCACCAGCTTTTGCAATCAAGTATCATATTATTTGTAGTTACCTCTCTTATAGTTACTTTTTTACCTTTCTAGCATGCACAATCTGAAGAACTACCTTCAGAATCACTCATTGCGATAAAAAAAAACATTTAAAAAAACATTAAAAAAAAATCCTCAACTAAATAATTGATGGTTGACCTTGAAAGCTGGGTGCAGATGGCGCTGGCTATCCAAATTAGCCGTAAGACTTCCCGGTTACTACTTTCGAATGATTATTACGTCTAAGCTTGAAAAAACGCACCATCCAATATTATTATACTTGTAGTGTTTTCAATATAACACGTTATTTCAATTCAACTTCCAACTAAACAAACAACAAAATGAATTCGGAAGACTCCGCAAACTTGCTATGAACCAAGAAATAACAAACGGCTCTATTTTACACAAATATCGGATAACACCCAAAACATGGTAAACCTTGCACTTTAATTATGCTTTGATATTAATTTTGTTAAATTTGTTTAAGGCTCACTATCTGTTAGAATTCATAAATTAAGGAAAACTTTTATGAATGGTGAAATTACGTGTAAATTTAAAGACGAATCACAATAATAAAAGTTCCAAGAATAAATAAGCCTGTTCACACATCGCCTCGTAGTCATAACATAAGCGGAGGGATACACCGGAAGTTTTCTAGATTTCTTCCGGTTTTAGGAAGCTTGTTATAGTTTACATTCAGTCAACCATCCATTCTTAGGCTATGCCAACGATTTCATAGGCAACAACAGCAGTGGTATATTTCCAAGTTTCGAATTCCATTGTTTTCGAATTAAATTGAGATCTTTCTGCATTAAAAGAAAAGAATTCTTTTTTCCTGTATCTACGTTAGCTAAATGTAAAAATGCAAAAATCTCAATTTTGAAAAAAGTGGAAATGACTGGTTTTTTGTACACATGGATTCAATTATTCGATCAGCATCAATTAGAAGCATTGATTGTTCAAATAGAACTTTGATTTTGAAATTCTCTCTTTAGTCTATAAATTGATAGACAAATTATGAATGTGAAGCGTTATGATAGTTTTAAGTCCCAAAATCAGGTACTCCCTTTCTATGATTTTTTTTTTTTTTGACGAATAAGGATTTTTGACCCATAAAATATAGGGAGTAGCACCAATCTGGGAAATATTGCCCACATAGTTTGGTTAAGAAGAGCGATTCAAAGAGACTTCTTCATGTTAATTTCACATTTTGCGTAATTCGCTGTACCTCGAATAAAAAATTTTTGGCTATTATCATGAAACTCATTTATCCAAAGATAATTTCATGTAAAATATAATTTTTAATTAGTGATTTTTTTTGTTTTTATTATTTTATTTAATAATAGCAGAAAAGAATTTAAATTGTAAGGTGTACAAATTTTTACATCATTTTTAAGTGCGTAATTTTAAATGACAAATTAAGAAACTTAAACGAAATCAGCCGAATAGTTCTGAAATAATTGTTTTATTATTTTATTTAATATTAGTTGAAATAATTTTAAATTATGAAGTGTACAAATTTTTACATAGTTTTTAAATACGTAATTTTAAATGACAAATTACAAAACTTGAAAGAAATCAAGCGAATAGTTGTAGAAGAATAACGATTTTTTAAAATTGAATTACTACTCAGAAACATTTCATCTGATTTCGTTCAATTGTATTTTGTCATTGAAAATTACATTATACAAAAATTTTTATACCTTATGCTTCAAACATTTTTTTCGATTATTATTAAATAAAAATTAAAAAATAATAAATAATAATTAAAAATTATTTTTTACATAGAATTTTCCTTGGATAAACATATTTTATAATCGTGTGCAAACATTTTCAATTCACGAAAAGTTCTTGAGATATAGCAAAATGCTCAAAAAGTGTAATTACCATTATGAGGCCAAAACTTTGTCTCGCTCTCCTGACTAAGCTATAGGGACCATATTTCCCAGATTAGAGCTACTCTTTATAATTTGATAATAAGGAATCCAAATCCACTGAAAAAAGGGTATGTTTATTTGGAGAAAATAGGTTTTTGTGTCTGGCTTTGTAACTTAAAATCTGCACTAACTAAATAGCATATCTGAGTGACATCACCTCCGAGAACCATTAAGTTAGAGTCCTAGTATATGAAAATCTGATTATTAGCTCAAAAGTTTTTTTTTTCACGCACCGTAGAAGTAAATTAAAATGACTGAACATATTGAGAAGTAAATTGAATTGAAATTATTACGAAATTAAAACATCTTTGTTTAAGAGTGCTAAAAGTTATTCAGGGTAATTCTTTCTTTTTTCGCACACTATAGAAATTAATTGGATTGAGTGATTTCTTACCTCTTGAAACAACATGGAAATTTCTTAGGAAAGTATACCGGCAAATTGGCCTTATTATGTTGAAAGCTTGGTAGAAATAAAACGGAGCTGAAAAGGAGAGAATAATTATTAAAACATTGAAACGAACAAAATATTGTAGAAATAAACTGGTGCTGAAAAGGAGAGAATAATTATTAAGACATGACAACGAACAAAATATTATAGAAATAAAATGGTGCTGATAAGGAGAGAATAATTATTAAGACATGAAATCAAACAAATTAGAGTAGTAAAATGGAGTTGAAAAGGAGAGAATAATTAAGACATGATAACGATCAAAATATGGTAGAAATAAAATGGTGCTGAAAAGGAGAGAATAATTATTAAGACATGAAAACGAACAAAATATTGTAGAAATAAAATGGTGCTGAAAAGGAGAGATTAATTATTAAGACATGAAATCAAACAAATTAGAGTAATAAAATGGAGTTGATAAGGAGAGAATAATTATTAAGACATAAAAACAAACAAATTAGAGTAGAAATGAAATGGAGCTGAAAAGGAGAGAATAATTAAGACATGAGAACGAACAAAATATGATAGAAATAAAATGGTTCTGATAAGGAGAGAATAATTAAGACATGATAACGATCAAAATATAGTAAAAATAAAATGGAGCTGAAAAGGAGAGAATAATTATTAAGACATGAAAACGAATAAAATATGCTTTAGCATCAATTTATTTTTAATACCTTTACTTTTAACTTTTACTTTTGCTCGTATAAGGAGAGGCCCCTCAAAGAAAGGGTTCGATATGCATTATAACGAGCCCATTTTGATCTGTGAAATTACACTTTATTATTTTCAAGTGTGTTACTAATTGCATTTATAATCTTTAAACCACAGTTGATTTCAAATTACAGTATACACCTATATTTGCTGTCTATTTATTAATTTGCTTCAAATGAAATTTGAATAAACCAGTGCTTTAAAAATTATTTTTTAAACAAGGTAAGATATCCTTAATTGTGCACTCTTTATGAAAAGTAATAAAATAAAATTAAGGTAACTAATGTTGAATGCATTTCATTTTTTTACAAATTAGAAGTATCAGTACAATTCATAGTTATTCTGATTGACTCCATTTGCCCATTCTTTTAAAAATGGCGTCCTCCTTAAAACACATTTTTTATTTCTAAATATACATAACAATAAAACTATATATTACAATATTTCATTCATTAACTGCTTACATTTAATCCCATTTGAGCTGTGGTAGCTCAGGGTATAGAGCGTCGCCTTCCAATGAGATAAATCGGTTTCGAATCCCAGCGATGGCTGGTCGATTCGAATTTCACACCCGGCTCTCACCGACAGCAGTGCTGACGTAAAATATCCACAGTGGTAGACAGATCATGAGTTAGAGTCCACTTGACGTCAATCTATCTGTGTGAAGTTTTCGTGGTTTTCTTCTCCATGTAACGCAAATTCGGATGAGTTCCCTCAAAAAGTCCTCCTCGAAGGCAAATTTTTCCCAATACTTGAGCCAGGAATTCCCGGGTCTTTTGGATTGGATTCAAAATTACGAGGCTACGATGTTGAACATTAGTAGTCGTAAACTCAAAACATTAGGTCGGCTGTTCAACGACGGTTATAAAATTTAATTCTACTCAGCTGCTGTTGAATCATATTAACAGGGTCTTAATAACTCACTCAAATCTGAATCTTGAAGTCGATTCATTTGTGAAATGAATCGGCGATACTCATTTACTACTGCATTTTCATATTATCACCATAGCAGTTTGGAATGAAGTATCGAAAGATTAAAATTTATTAAGTATAGTTGAATTTGTTCATCAAGAGCACAAATTTAACTTTTTTAAATTGTCTGCTTTAATGTTAAAATGCCTATTAAAACCCCGTTATTGCTAACATAGATTTAATATATTGTGGAACTTCTTCAAAATTATTTCAATGTTACGTTCCACGGAAATTTCAACCATATTAGATTAAAAAATTAAATTTAAAAAAAAAACTTTTTTTTAAACATTAATTAGTCTTGTTTTCACTTTATCGATGTCATTTTTGATAGTTTTGACCTACTAAACATGCTCACCTAGGGATCATTTGTCAGCAAATTCATTTTATAATTACCAGTGTATATGTTACTGTGAATGACCGAAATCGGTGGTTGTTGTCTTTCCCGGTGAATGTCAACAATCACATAGTCACTTTAGTGTACGTCCGAAATATTTGTTGTATGCGATTTGATATTAATTTATTCGTTGATATTATNTGTTGCATTTTCTACAAACAGCAGTTTAGATTCAATATAATGAGGAACTTCTTAAAAATTATTTCACTGTTATGTTCCAAGGAAATTTCAATCATATTAGATTAAAAAATTAAATAAAAAAAAAACCTATTTTTTTAAACATTAAATTAGTCTTGTTTTCACTTTATCGATGTCATTTTTGATAGTTTTGACCAACTAAACATGCTCGCCTAGGGATCATTTGTCAGCAAATTCATTTTATAATTACCAGTGTATATGTTATTGTGAATGACCGAAGACGGTGGTTGTTGACTTTCCCGGTGAATGTCAACAATCATATAGTCGCTTTGGTGAACGTCCAAAATATTTGCTATATACAATTTAATATTAATTTATTTGTAGATATTATTATATTTTATTCGATATTTTAATATCCACTGAGGATAGATTAGAAGAAACATCAGTGTTCGGAGTACCGGTTAAATGCATACTGGGCAGTGGCACTTGACCTTAAGAAGTCAATGATTGCATACCGGGCAGTGGCACTTAACTAGACTTAGTATATATTCCGGACTCATACCAAAGCGACTATGTGATTTTATTTTATAACCATCGTTGAATAGCTAACTCCATTTTTTTCGGTTTAGGAATACTAATGTTCAACTCCATAGCCTTGTAATTTTGAATCCAATCCAGAAGACAAGGAAACTCCTGGAGAAATTTGCCTTCGTGGAGGAGTTTTTGATGGAGCTAACTCCCATTTGCGAAACATGGAGGGGGAAACCTCCCACGGTTAGCCTGACGGCAAGGGAACTCTAAGCCTTGATCCTTTTACCATTAAGGATATTTCATGTCAGCACTGTAGTCAGTGCGAGCTGGGTGCGAAATTCGTATCAACAAGCCATCACTGGGATTCGAACCCGGTTCACCTCATTTCAAGTCGAACCCTCTATTCCCTGAGTCATCACAGCTCACGAATATGGGATTGTCAACAACCACCCATTTCGATCATTCACGGTAACAAAGACACGTGACAAATAAATGAAAATGGCTGTTGCGCTTCATATAGTATTAAAGAGCGATTATAAAATAATAATTTCTTACCATTAATAATGAAAATGTGCTTCCAAATTTCTGGATAGCTATCTTGCAGTAATCTCAAAAGATCAAATCCCATTTCAATAACTGAAAAGGAAAGAGATGGTTTATAAATAATTGCTCATAACATATTGATATTTAAATATATAAAAGGTGCAATCCTCACCGCATGCTCGTACGCATTCCCGGAGTGAGAAACAGTCCATGTCAACTATGAAACTAGCTTCGTTCAATTCCCTTCCACACTGCAAATAGATTCATTTAAACATAGGATAAATAACCTTCATACAGTTTCTGGCTAAATTATTAAACGCACTATAAGATTCAATACAGCTTTATTGTTTTTACGTGGCTGAAACTGGTTTGCATTTGTTAACGTCTGTGTATCAATGCGTCGACATTGTAATACGTTAAAAATAAATACAAATAGGAAGTATATAAAAAAATCTCCTGAAAAAAAAACCATTACTTGTTTATTTAAATATAAAAGTATTGCAGACAAACTGGCGCAAAATATGTTATTATTAAAACACTACAGTGCGTCTAATGATTTGATCTAATTATTATAATATACTAATGTAATACCTGATGTAATAAATATTCTATATTTGTATAATATATCGTCTAATTTATCCTATCGTCAAATTTATATTACATACATCGTCTAATTTAACTAATGTATACGAACAATGTGCGCCTAATGTACACGAACGTAAACAGGTGCAAACCGGTTTCAGTTACGTAAAAGCAATAAAGCTGTGTAGTATCACCTGATAATTAACCCACAGGCGATTGAGCAAAGAGGCAAAATTACGAGAACATTTCTCTCCAATACACTATTTCCCTATCTAATAACATGGGAAAACCGATTTTGCTATGTGAAAAAGACTGCTGTTTAAAATACAACTTCTTACGTGCAGAAGCGTCAGGGGGTTAAGATGTCGCATAGAATCTTATAGTGAGTCTACTAATTTGGCCAAGGACTGTAAGTGAGTACAATCATCAAGTTTCAAATACTGAAACGAAAATTTGGTACCCGTCATAGAGTACATACTGAAAAGAGAATGAATTGGATTATCCCGTCGATCATTTACGCCAAACCCGGTATTTATCACTAAAAGGTAGCCTCTGCACCAATAACCACAAATTGTATCATATTTACTGTGTATTCCTTTACCATGCGAGTTAGTTTTCCTTAACGCGTTGAAATATAGTCTTACTCCTCTGCGAAAGGATTCGAATTTGAGATTTGCCTAGCTGCGAAGAGATTATTATTATTAAACAGAAGAGAATACCACGAAACTACCCGAATACACTTGGATTTGTATTTAAACGAATTTATGTGGCGGCGACTGCACAATGATTTGTTTGTTTGCGCTTTAAAAGCTATCAAGAATTTTTGGCCGCAGAAATGATTAATAGTAATATACATATATGGTTAATTTCAAGAATAATTCGATGCGTAATCATAAAAAAATAGAGGTTTTTACTTTGTTTTGATTCTTTTTATTACACTTTTTTATTACGTATTTTGACACTTTCATTTTTTTTGTTATTATTATTTCATTGCTATTTGATAAATTTAATGTGTTTAGAATGTTTATTTTGGAAATTGCTTTTCATTACGATGGCGCCAAAGGATTTTCGCATTTTCGCGAGCGTTGACAGGTCGACGGGATAATTCCAAAGTACCGAAAGTTTTGGATTATAGGGAGGTACTTTATTTACGTCGTACTAGAGCAGCACGATGGGCTATTGGCAACGGTCTGGGAAACATCCCTGAGGATGATCCGAAGACATGCCATCGCAATTTTGATCCTCTGCGAAGGGGATGGCTTCCCTGCTTTGGTAGCCCGACGACCTGCGGGAAGTCAAGCTCTTTACTGCAGCACAGTTTAACGAGGACCGATACCGCGCACCCTCGGTCCCCACGCAGAATGATCAAAGTGGTCACCCGCCCGCTTACTACCAGCAGCCAGTGATGCCTGACTTCGGTGTTCTACTGGGAGCCGTGTCTTAACGATCAGTCCACTGCGGGACCGGGAAATTTTAGAGAAATGTGCAAAAGGGAAATTCCATCCCAATAACTGCAATTGAAACTGATATCTGCAATTGAAACGTATTTAGGTTTTCTTAAACTCACTTTTTCTATAATTTAAATTGCTTAAGGAAATGAAAGCATTAAAAAGCTTTTCCTGTGGTGTATAGTGTCTCCTATGCTGTCTCCATATTATGTATGGTTGACTGAATGTAAACAATAACAAGCTTTCTAAAACAGGAAGAAATTTAGAAAACTTGTGGTGTATCCTTCCGCTTATGTTATGCTTACGAGGCGTTGCGTGAACAGGCTTAATATTCTAGGGAGTTTTATTATTGTGATTTGTGTTTAAATGAACGCGTAAAATTTTACGATTTACAAGAGTTTTCGGTAATTTATGAATTCTGTGGTGAGCCGAAAAAAATTTAACAAAATTAATATCATAGCATAAAAAAAAGTGTAAGGTTTTGAATGTTATCCCTTTTGGGTAGCATCATACCAAGATTCCGGAATCAGTCTTCCAATTTCAATTTTTGTTTGTTTCGTTGAAAGTTAGATTGAAAGAACGTGTTATATTGTAAGCACTATTGTGGAGAGAGTCACATCGACCATGTCTACCTTTATCTATGAAAGGGTATCCCACCGTAGAATCGAGTTAACATGTCTTATATACTAGAGAATTGGAATTATATTTTTGCAGTGGTAGATACACTGCAGTACTCCCCCACCAGAGTTATAGCTGTCATTGAATTCGATGAACGGATACCACTTGTTGATGCATTGCTGTTTTGTGAGAAGCCGGGAGAACGGTATTAAGAACACGTACTTTTGAGAGCTGTATTAAGTTCAGCTTTCACAGTGTCTTGGGGGGCTTCGCCGGGTCCCTCGGTCGGCACTTGTGCCGATGAATTATCTGCGTTTCCTCTCCTGAGGGGACCTGTCGCGGCGACGAGTCGAACATTTCCCGCATACCCATATTGGGGGGTTCGAGGTTAACCTGCTTCCTTAAGTTCACGGTCGTGGTTGTTCCTGTGTTGCCTTTAGCAGTCGAGTGAATACGTTGTACGTTATGTGTGATCATGACTGAGTAGCAACAGCGTAAGGAGGACAATGTCGCAGTCACAAATAGCAAGTCCACTGTTCAATGTGAACCGTCCATCGAAGTAGGCGTGTTCAGATCGCAGTGGGCGTTTCTGCCAAGGTAGGCGTGTTCACATCACGCCCGAAGGCCACCAATGTGGGGAGAGAAGTTATCGACAATGTCAACCTTCATCTATAAAAAGGCGATCATGTGATTGTTGATATTCACCGGTAAAAGTTGACTTCCTCTTGATTTAAGTCATTGACGTTAACATATATATTTGTTGACAGTAAATGTTTATTTCCTCTCAGAATTGCACAAAGTATTCGAATCCGTTCAGATCTTTTTAGTAAAAGAATGACCAAAAAAGTAATTATGTAAGATAATAGGTGTAAGAACTGTGAAGAACTCGTAAAAACTAATTGTGTGAAAAGATAGTAAGTGTAAAAATTCTCAGCAATACAGTCATATTTAATGAAGGAAAGTAAAGTTTTTCACACCACATGTCGTTCAAAAAAAACTGCAAAATCTATATTTATTGAAATTAAAATAATTCCTTCAAGCATTTTGTTTTCGGCAAACTAATAGCAGAAGAAAAAAAATCATTTGCTTAAAGAAACGAAAACTTTCTTCCTTCTTTCCTTTTTTAAGAAAAAAAGGAATGAATCGTAAACTTGACAATAAAAAGAATTTAAAAATACGTAAAACGTTGAGAACAGTTGTAGAAAACGATGGGAAATGCTTTATTGTGGAATTTATAACTTTTTCATAAAAATGTGGTGCATATCTTTGTGAATTGTAAAAATGTGTTGTTCTCTTAAAAATGTGTTGCATTTATAAAAATATGTTCCGTAACTTTTTCCGTTAAATTGACGTGTAATTGGGACGAATATTTACCATCATTTGATGCTACAGATCCTCATGGCACAAATCAATATAATCGGACCTAATTTTGTTCTCCATTATACATCGTACCAAAAACAAGCAGAGTTAATAAAAAAAACATTTTTTGTGTTGATATTTTAAAATTTTTTCGATTTCTGAGTCACATTTCAGATGTTAAAAATATTTTTAAACTCGAAAAAGTCTTAGCAGTTTCAAACTGCTACAATTTTTTCAACAACCAAAAACAAGCAATTTTTTAATTTTTATTTATATATTTATTTTGCATGGAAAACAGTTGGGACTAATTTTTGTCTTTCTAGACTTAGAGTAACATAAAAAGTTTACGTACTTTAATCGGATTCCTAATTAATCAAGTATACATACATAATTTTAACCAACAATTATTGGTATTTGTAAAAACGCATTTATTTGCATCCTGAATGCATAGTTTGTCTACCTAAAGTGAGAACTCCCCTACCTACTTGTCTGGGCCTGTGGCGGTGACTATGGTAATGAGGTATAACTATTTCAAGTCGAGGTGTAGAGTCATTGTTTAGGACAGGTTTTGGTTTGGGTCGGCGAGTGAAAGGGAATTTTTTTCTTAGGCTTATTGAGTTAAACCGAGACAGAAGCGAAGCTACCCTCCCTGAAATGCGCTATTCTTGTTTCCATAGCAGCAGACGGCCTCAGACTTTGTGACGGGGGGAGTTCTTACCGTAGACAAACCGTAGTATAGTAAAGAGAAGACATAAATTACCTTTTCACTCAGTTTCTTCAACCTTTTTACATATTTTTCTATTTCATATGAACATAGCCGGATTACTTCAAACTCTGTCATGGATACAGCAAATCCTGTTAAACAAGAGAGTAACACCATTATGGAGTAATCAATACATCATAAAATGCTGGAAAATCCGGATCCGAACCCTGATTCTGGGGAAAAGGAGTGTATTTTTTTTTTTTTTTTTTTTAAATCAATCGGTTTTAAAGTAGGAGCAGAATTTTATTAAGCGAAAAAAAATTTTTTTTTAAACGTTTCTTTCTCAGATAAATTTTCTCACCATTAGGTCGATAGATTAGTCGGAAAAAATAATCTAATAATCATTAATTATAGATCAGGGGATAGAGAAAGTCCGGCGGAGAAGAAATTCTGGCATGAAACCCATTCATTCGGTTTAATTTATTTTCAATTAGTATTTTTTACTAAATATGTCGTAATAAGAACTATAATTTCAACAACAAGAGTTTTCGATTAACTGCTACCATATGAACCAAATAAATGATTTAAATACCATATGTTTTGGATAATTAACCAGAATTATGTTTCTTTTTTGCAGGAAATGCTATTACCATTCAATGTCAGAATTTCTTCTCCGTGTAATGCACCGTATTTCTAAAAACTGATGTTGTTTTGTTCCGCGTGTTAAGGTAAATATTTAAATAATAATTTTTTTTTTCGTTGACTTCTCATGTTACTTACAATAAAATCATTAATAGAAATTTTTTTCAATTATTACAAATCATGTATTCATCAAAAAAGTTCTTAACTTTTTTTTTAAATCGATTTGATTGTGTCTCAAAAAAGAAAAGAAAAAAAAAAAAGAAGCATCATTGAAGTTGACTTGTTCAGGATCAATATTTTTTAAATTAAAAAGAAGAAAAAGAAAGCAATATTTTGTGTAATTTTTATTTTTCTAATTAAAAATTTCTAGTTTTTAAATAGAAATTACTAATTTCTAATTAGAAACTACTAATTTCTTATGAGGAATTACTAATTTCTAATGAGAAACTACTAATATCTAATTAGGAACTGCTAATTTCTAATTAATTAAGAAATTCGAAACTACTAATTTCTAATGAGGAATTACTAATTTCTAATGAAAAATTTCTAATGAGAAACTACGAATTTCTAATTAGAAACTACTAATTTCTAATGAGAAACTACTAATTTCTAATTAAAAACTACTAATTTCTAATTAGGAGGCAATATTTTTAAATTAAGGATTAGTATTTTGAGAAATTGCTAGTATATTTAGAAAGTAATATTTATTTTATATTATGTAGTATGCATGCAGTTTCAAATTGTTAGGAAAAGAAATTACCATAAAGATCTGCTCGACCCAGTGCAATATAACCATAAGGAGTTCCATCTTTTGACTCTCCTACGTATGACTGGAAATTATACTTGACCGCCACCTACGCATTACAAACATTTCAAAATTAAATAGTTGATTAGGATCATGAAATATTACCGATACCACAATACCGATGTTTAAAAATATATTAGCATGGCTCTAAACAATAGTGATTTTCAAAATTCTTTAATTCCCAGAACATAAATTTAATACCACTATTATAAATTTATTGAACAATATTTATAACAGAATTTTTGAAAACAGAATTCGAGCTTAAACATTTTAAGTTATGTCGTGAACCAGTTTCGCGAACATGCATTTCAAATATCTGAAAGCTCTTTAATTATTTCTCTAGAAATATGAAAAATCTCATAATATTCCATCTAACTATTTTTGAATTATGACAGAGAAGCAAGTTTAGTAATGATTTTTTGAAACAGCGGTGACGGTGGTCAATAATTTTTTTTTTTTTTTTTTTACTGTACATCGAACTTCCACATTCAACTTGGTATTGCTTTCGCAGTCTTTCAATAACGGAAATGCGTTTAAAATTTATAAGTTTCTTCGGTATGTGATTCGCGATCGCAACGCTTGAGTATACCCTCTAGCGGAGCCTGAAAATATCAGGCACTTATTTATTAAGGTTTCATTTAGTTTTATCATAATCATTGGCAGAGTCGGACGCTATTTTCTTAGTATCATTCATTCAACAAGAAGCAAAATTTCCCGAAGGAAAAAGCAGAAGAACTTGAAAAAACTAGCCAGAACATTGGAAAGTCTTTTTGAAACAGAACACGCCAAACATTTGAAAGCAATTTCTCAATAATTTCTACTTTTCTATTATTAACAAGCTTGTAACCGATAACTTCCGATTTCGTGATCGCATACTGTTACAGATGCATGTATTACGGTAAAAAAGAGAAACAATGAAATATGAAAAAAATGGATAAATATGGCAACCGAAGCTGACGTTTTCAGGGGGTACCAGCTCCGAAAGTCATAAAAGCAAAACCTTTTCTATCGAGAGAGCACGACAAAAAGTCTAAAATTGCTCTCTCTGTACCCCCAAAGGTTTTGCCGAAGTCCAGGAAAGGAATATAATACAAAATATAAAATACATCAAGCAAATACAAAATAATAAAAAGAAGGCAAATACATAAGAATAGTACGTACAAAAGCTTACTTGAAACAAAAATCCTATAACCAGATAACGCAACTGACTGCGAGACATAAATAAATTGTAATAAACATAAAAACAACACCCCTTTACCTGCTCAGTAGAAAGAAAAAAAAAGGACAGAAGTTAAGAAAGAGCCAGAAAATAGTGACATCACTAAAAGTAAAGCTTGACCGAGGTAACTCGATCAAGACTTGGATTTTGCCTTATTACATAAAAAAAACTAATAATTCTCAATCATTTTATTAGTTTTAAAATCAATATTACAGAAATTAAAAGGAAAACCATTATTTTCTAATATTTTTCAAAAATTACTAGTTGCCTCTTGAAAACTTAAAACATTATTGCAAATTTTATTAATTCTAAACAATTGAGAAAAAACTAAATTTTTGAAAATTTTACTGCAAAAATTAGTTTCAAAATTATAGAAAAAATAACTTTAAAATTGAAAGTCTTTCTTTTATCATAAACACCAGTTTTAATTTCTTTATCAACAATATCAATTTTAAAATCTAAATATTCAACTTTTAAGCAATTTTCACTAGTCTTCTTCAAAACCAATTCTTTAGGATAAAAATTAAAAATAAAATCATAATTATCACAATTAAACAAAATTAAATCATCAATATATCTAAAAGCTTTAAAATCATTAAACTCACTAGATTTAGCTTCAAAAAAATATAAAAAAAATATTAGCAAAAGCATCAGAAAAAGAATTACCTTGCGGAATCCCTATATTTTGTTTATAAAAATTAAGGCCATTAAAAAGTACATTTTCAAAAAGATTAAACCTACAAATATCCATCCAATAAGATTTATCAATATTTTCATNGAGTAACACCATTATGGAGTAATCAATACATCATAAAATGCTGGAAAATACGGATCCGAACCCTGATTCTGGGAAAAAGGAGTGTATTTTTTTTAAAAAAAATCAATCGGTTATAAAGTGGGAGCAGAATTTTATCAAGCGAAAAAAAAATTTCTTAACGTTTCCTTCTCAGATAAATTTTCTCACCATTAGGTCGATAGATTAGTCGGAAAATATAATCTAATAATCATTAATTATCGATCAGGAGATAGAGAAAGAAATTCTGGCGGAGAAGAAATTCTGGCATAAAAACCATTCATTCGGTTTAATTCATTTTTAAATAGTATTTTTTACTAAATATGTCGTAATAAGAACTATAATTTCAACAACAAGAGTTTTCGATTAACTGCTACCATATGAACCAAATGAATGGTTTAAATACCATATATTTTGGTTAATTAACCAGAATTATGTTTCTCTTTTGCAGGAAATGCTATTACCATTCAATGTCAGAATTTCTTCTCCATGTAATGCACCGTATTTCTTTCTAAAAACTGATGTTGTTTTGTTCCTCGTGTTAAGGTAAATATTTAAATAATATATTTTTTTCGTTGACTTCTCATGTTACTTACAATAAAATTAGTAATAGAAAAACTTTCAATTATTAAAAATCATGTATTCATAAAAAAGTTCTTAACCATTTTTTAAATTGATTTGATTGTGTCTCAAAAAAAAATCATTGAAGTTGACCATTGCTGATCTTGTTCAGGATAAATATTTTTTTAATTAAAACGAAGAAAAAGAAAGCAATATTTTTTAAATAACTAATTTCAAATCAGAAACTACTAATTTCTAATTAAAAATTACTAGTTTTTAATTAGAAATTACTAATTTCTAATGAGAAACTACTAATTTCTAATGAGGAATTACTAATTTCTAATGAGAAACTACTAATTTCTAAAGAGAAACTACTAATTTCTAATTAGGAACTACTAATTCTAATAAGGAACTACTAATTTCTAAATAATTAAGAAATTAGAAACTACTAATTTCTAATTAGGAACTACTAATTCTAATGAGGAGAGGAACTACTAATTTCTAAATAATTAAGAAATTAGAAACTACTAATTTCTAATGAGGAATTACCATTTTCTTATTACAAATTACTATTTTCTAATTAGAAACTACTAATTTCTAATGAGAAACTACTAATTTCGAATGAGAAACTACTAATTTCTAATTAAAAGCTACTAATTTCTAATTAGGAGGCAAAATTTTTAAATTAAGGATTAGTAATTAGAGAAATTGTTAGTAGATTTAGAAAGTAATATTTATTTTATATTAGTATGTATGCAGTTTCAAATTGTTAGGAAATGAAATTACCATAAAGATCTGCTCGACCCAGAGCAATATAACCATAAGGAGTTCCATCTTTTGACTCTCCTATGTATGACTGGAAATTATACTTGACCGCCACCTACGCATTAAAAACATTTTAAAATTAAATAGTTGATTCGAACTGAATCATGAAATATTTTTTGCTTAAATCACGATACTGATGTTTGAAAATATATTAACTTGACTCTAAGCAATAAAGTGATTTTTAAAATCCTTTAATTCCTACAACATAAACTTAATACCACTATTGTAAATTTATTGAGCAATATTCATAACAGAGTTTTTAAAAACAGAATTCGAGCTTAAACATTTTAAGCTGTGTCCAGTTTCGTGAACATGCATTTCAAATATCTGAAAGTTCTTTAATCATTTCTCTAGAAATATGAAAAATCTCTATTCCATTTAACTATTTTTGAATTATGACAGAAAGAAGCATGTTTAGTAATGATTTTTTTGAAACAGCGGTGACGGTGGGCAATAACTTTTTTTTTTTTTTTTTTTTTACTATACATCGAACTTCCACATTCAACTTTGTATTGTTTATGCAGTCTTTCAATCACGGAAATGCATTTAAAAATTATGATAAGTTTCTCTAGTATGCAATTCGCGATCTCAACGCTTGAGTACGCCCTCTAGCGGAGCCTGAAAATATCAGGCATTTATTTATTAAGTTTTCATTTAGTTCTATCCTAATCATTGGCAGAGTCGGCGGAAGAATTTGAAAAAACTAGCCAGAACATGGGAAAATCTTTTTGAAACAGAACACACCAAACATTTGAAAAACAATTTCTCAATAATTTTTACCTTTCCATTATTATTAAGTTTGCAACCGATAACTTTCGATTTCGTGATCGCATACTGTTACAGATACGTGTATTACGGTAAAAAAGAGAAACAATGAAATATGAAAAAAAATGGATAAATATGACAACCGAAGCTGACGTCTTCAGGGGTTACCAGCTCCGGAAGTCATAAAAGCAAAACCTTTTCTATCGAGAGAGCACGACAAAAAGTCTAAAATTGCTCTCTCTGTATCCCAAAGGTTTTGCCGAAGTCCAGAAAAAAGATATAAGATGAAAAATAAAATACATAAAGCAAATACAGAAAAATAAAAACAAAAAAAAAAAATACATAAGAATAGTACGTAAAAAAGCTTACTTGAAACAAAAATCCTGTAAACAGATAACACAACTGACTGCGGGACATAAATAAATTGAAATAAACATAAAAACAACGCCCACTAACCTGCTCAGTAGAAAGAAAAAAAAAGGACAGAAGTTAAGAAAGAGCCAGAAAATAGTGACATCATTAAAAGTAAAGCTTGACCGGGGCAACTCGATCAAGAATTGGATTTTGCCTTATTAAATAAAAAATCTAATAATTCTTAATCAGTTTCTTAATTTTAAAATCAATATTGCAAAAATTAAAAGAAAAACCATTATTATCTAAAAAATTTTAAAAATTACTAGTTGCCTCTTGAAAACTTAAAACATTATTACAAATTTTATTAATTCTAAACAATTGAGACAAAACTAAATTTTTGAAAATTTTACAGCACAAATTAGTTTTAAAATTACAGAAAGAAATAACTTTAAAATTAAAGCCCTTTATTTTATCATGAACACCAATTTTAATTAGCTTATCAACAATATCAATTTTAAAATCTAAATATTCAACTTTCAAGCAATTTTCACTACTAAACTAAAACTCAGTGGCACGACAGGCTATAGAGAGCCAAGGCCTACTGTGCCCATCTCAGTTTTCTTGACCTTGGGCTCTGGGGTGCAAGAGCAGATGTTCCGGTTAGGTGGTCAGCCGAACGCGAAACCCCCAGTGTTTAGTTCCCAAGCATGCTTGGTACTCATTTATCTACCCACTTAAGAGATGAAAGGCTGAGTCAAAATTGCCCGGCCCGAAGATCGAACCCAGGACCTGTGGCACGGAAGCGCGAAGCGCTACCACTCAACCACCCGGCGTCAAGCAATTTTCACTAGTCTTCTTCAAAACCAATTCTTTAGGATAAATATTAAAAATAAAATCATAATTTTCGCAATTAAACAAAATTAAATCATCAATATACCTAAAAGCTTTAAAATCATTAAACTCACTAGATTTAGCTTCAAAAAAATATAAAAAAAATATTAGCAAAAGCACCAGAAAAAGAATTACCTTGCGGAATCCCTATATTTTGTTCATAGAAATTAAAGCCATTAAAGAGTACATTTTCAAAAAGATTAAACCTACAAACATCCATCCAATGACATTTATCAATATTTTCATTAAATAAATATTTATCAAAAATGCCACTACAAATATCAATTATTTGTAATAGCATTTTTATGTGCATACTGGTGTACAAAATTTGTACACCAGTTTGTTGTCATATCAAAAACCATGAAAGCATAATGGAAAATGTAGGATGATGGGGACCATCATAAATCGCACTGAAACCAACATAAACCATCAAAATGTTTTGACTTGGGAGGCGCCCCTGTTGGCAAATGTTTATAAAGATGTTTTATGTCATTAGCTGCACATAATTTTTATTAAATTTTTAAGTAGAGATTGCAACATGTAGAATATTACATAAGTAATAATTTACTCCATCATCTGATCGAAAAACTTATTTAAGAAAAAACAAATTTAAAAAGAAAAACAATCACAGAGGTGTTTTTTCTGAATGTCATTGTTAAAAGCATCACTTACCTCCGGCACATTGAAATCTTCTACAATAGTGTCTACCTTAAATACAGCTCTATATGCCAGGAACTAAAAAAACAAAAACAAACATGCATTTCAGTGGTAGAAATTAATATTTTTTCAATTGAGAGTGAAAAATTTAGAGTAACAGCTGTATTAGTAGTCGATACCTGTTCGCTTTTTTTACGTGTAATAATTGCTAGTAAAAATGTTTCTACGAGCATTCGTAATTCCCCGTCTTTACGGAAGTTTGTAATGAACAGAATAAAAAAAAAAAAATTGGCTGTAATCAATGAGTACTCGTATAATAGTAAGTAGCAGATAAACAATAAATTTGACTTTTAGAAGCAGAATAAAGTTTATAAGCGAATCAATAAATAAATCGGCTAAACAAAATTAAAGAGCTAATTGATAATTAGCTAATTAATTAATCGGGAAATCACTGAATCAACAAATCATATAGTCTATGAAACAGCGAATGAATGAAAGATTGATTAGCAAAAAAATCAAATAAATTAGACCAGTATATTAAAGAAACATGTAACAAGTTAAAAATCATCTAATTAGCATGAATAAACAAATTAACAAGTCAATAAGCAAGAGTCAATAAGCAAGTCAATAAATCATTTATAAAATTAGCGAATAAGCAGATCACTGTTTCTTCGAAACAATAAGAAACAATTAGAATATCAAAAAATTAACGAATTAGCAACGCAGCCAACCAATGAAGCTGCGAATCAATAAATAAGCGAATCAGCTGGTCGTGTAACCACTGATTTGCTGTTGCTGTGATTTACTTCTACACTGGTATTACATGAGTCAAGGACTTCCTTTTATCAGTTATTATTTTTAAGTTTATAATTTTATTTTCACATCTGATCAAAATACTTCATTATTTATTTAATATTTCGATTATTTTTAAGAAATTATGCAGGTAAAACATCAATGGGGGAAAAATAACAAAATTTAAGATAATACACGTGCTACTGTGAATGACCGAAATTGGTCGTAGTTGACTTTCACCGGTTAATGTTCAGAATCACATAGTCGCTTTGATAAATGCCCGAAATATATATACTAGGTCTAGTTAAGTGCCACTGCCCGGTAAGCCCTACAACAATGTTTTTTAAGGTTAAGTGTCATTGCACAGTATGCATTTAATCGGTACTCCGAACACTGATGTTTCTTCCAATCTATCCTCAGTGGATATTAAAATATCGAATAAATATAATAATATAAACTAATAAATTAATATCAAATTGGATATAACAAATATCTCGGGCATTCACCAAAGCGACTATGTGATTGTTGACATTCACCGGTGAAAGTCGACATTCTCTTGATTTAGGTCATTCACAGTAAAATATGTATTCTAATAATTACGTGCACATCGAAGAAATTAAAAGCCTGTGCATTTATAAAAATATTTCATTACCTTCGAAGTTCTCTTTTCAAAATAAAATAACTAATTACAGCAATATCGAACACCATATTTTTATATAATCATTCTCAAAGTTTTTTCTTTTTCGTTTATATTTCTATGATTAATATGTTCATAATTAATGATAAACTTTATTTATAAAGTCGGAAATTCTACTAAAAGAAGGTCTACCATTTTAGGTTCCATTGCAGAAAAGCATTGGGAATCGTTGCCCAGACAGCCAAATTTCATATAATAACTTTAAGGGCTACGTAAATACGTTTATTTTTTCAGATATGTCTCAATTATTTATGGGGGGACCTCCCATAACAAAAGATTTGAACGTAAAATATGTTGCAACTTTCATAAATAGATGCGATTGCTTTTAAATAAGACGATTAGGAAATTAAAGACACACAGTATCCTTTTCGTATTGTTTTCTGAGATTTACGTTTCTGCTTTGACCTTCATAATTTTTATGAAATGGAAATTGTTTTCCTAATATTTAAACCATTAATAAAGGTGTTTTGTTTTCTTTCTTCTTGTTATTTTTATCATTTAAAAGTCTGGCTATGAGATTGAGAAATAATACAGGAGTGTTTTTGCTCCTTCGTGAATACTTACCTCACGGAAAACCATTTCACATTTTCTCACGTTATAATTTCTGACTGAAAATAAAATAAATAGTTTAATAACATCGTGTTGCAGTTATAGATATAAAAACAAAAACTTTACAGTAACATATATCAAGTTCAGGGTAGGGTACACAAAAAATAAATGGATTACCCAGAAGTATAAGATCAGATTTTCACGTACTTGGACCCAATATCAATGGTCTGTTTCAGTAACCTCAAATATGTGTTGTAATTACAGTTATCAAAAAAACTTACAATAACATATATCAAGTACGCAAAAAATGGATTACTCAGAAGTATAACTTTTGATTTAATGATCGGATTTTACGTACTAGGACTCAATATCAATGGTCTATTTTAGTAACCTCAAATATGTGATGTAATTACAGTTATCAAAGAAACTTACACTAACATATATCTAGTTCAGGGTAGGGTACGCAAAAAATAAATGGATTACCCAGAAGTACAACTTTTGATTTAATGATCGGATTTTCACGTATTAGGACTCAATATCAATGGTTTGAGTCAGGGCTCGAAAAACCACCCGTCCGCCCGTCCTCGGCTGTCAAAAATTCCCCGCGGACAACGAATTTCTCGAATGCGACGTCCGCGCGGACGGCCATTTTCCCGTTAATGTTGGTGATACATTTTCAATTTTTGTTATCTTACAAGAGTCTAGCGCCTCACTTCTAAAATGACCCTCTAATCTAGAAATCCCGTACAGCAACATACTGCGCATGGTGGAATTGATGTTTTCTCTGTCTCCCGTACTGCAGCCGTTGAAAGGGATTTTTCAGCAATGAACTTACAAAAAAAAAAAAAACCATTACGTACTGATCTTAAATAAGAAGCGTTAAACGCAATTATGAACATCTACCTAAATGGAAAACCCCTTTCCAATTTTTGTGTAGAAACCTCTGTAATTCATTAGCTTGATTGTGGAACTGGCAAACTTCATATTTGATTCATTTAAAAAAACGCAGTACTCTCGGATAAATTGACATTCCAGATAACTTGACATTTGTAATTTAAATTATTTTATGAAATAAATAAATTATTTAATAAAAGAAATAAATTATTTCATAAAAGAAATAAATTATTTTATAAAAGAAATACTAGGTTCCTATTAGTAACCTGGTATTCCTTTTATTACTGTATAATGCAATCCCAGTATTTGTAATCCAAGTAACTACTAATTCACGGTGCAATTTATATAAATGTTTGTAATAAATAAGAGAAAATTATATTTTTATTTATTTAGAAGCGACGGGTTAGTTTCAAAGGAGGACAGGTACATTGTTGGACAAGCCGTCCTCGGGGACGGGTAAAATTTTTGAGTTTTTTCGAGCCCTGGTTTGAGTTAGTGATCTCAAATATGTAAATTAGTTAGAGCATATAATATTTTAAGTAATGAAAGCAGACTCAAAAGTATACTTTATCTAAATAAACATATGTTTTTTCTTCTTCAAAGGATTGGGATTCGGGATAATACAATATAGGAGAGCCGTGACGGTTATAAAAGAAAAATATATATGTAGGAGTATTTATTATTCCAAAATATAGGAGTAGTCCGCAGTAATAAGGTTTTAATGGTTTCGTCAAGAGAACTATCAAAATTTGTAATTTTTGCGAATTTCGTCATATCTCGAGTACTTATGAAGCAAATTGAAAAAATTGTACACAGTTATAAAATGAGTTTATTCAAAGATAACTAGGTATAAAAAACTATTTTTGATATTTTTTTTTTTTGATAGTCAGAAATGTTTGAATTTTAAGATATGCAAATTTTAATGCTATTTTTTAAGAATGTAATTTTATAAAGCAAGATACGAAATTCGAACAAAAGTGGTTCAACAGTATCTGAGAAAATTTGTGTAAGTAAGTAAATAATAATGACGGTAGATCATTAGAACAAAAGTTATTAAGATGAGATTGTAAAATTGTAGGATTCAGTCTTTAATAATTATTATTTTAAAATCACTGCAAATTACTTAAAAAGTTGAGGGTAATATTTGATTGTCTTTCAATTAATTCCGTTTTCCGATTCTTGTTATATTTTCTTTTCAAAACACCTGATATTCAAAACAAATACTCGAATAATAAGACTAAGCAACAAATTTCTTTTAGCCATTAAATATTAAAAATTTTTATTTCAGAAGTATTTATTTATTCTGAATGATGTTTTGTGGATCTAAACGATTTAGGAACAAAAACATTAATTCATTAAAACTTAAACGAAATTTTAAGTTATTAAAAAATTCTCACCTCTTAACCATTTCAAGAGGACTTTGTCTGTGTAGTCTCCAGTCAGTACATCCTTTAAATTATTTTTGAACTAGAATAATACGAAAAGAATAATTATTAGTTATGAAAAGTAAATAGAACAGTCTTGATATTTTTTTTAAAAAAATTATTGTTTTTTTCTGATAAGTACCTCGGAAAATGCGCCGTCGATTAACATAATTGTTTCGTGGTCGCTACAAAAACCATACTTTAAAAAATTATTAAAAAGTATTCCGATTTAGTTTATCGAGTTGACACACTGTTAAAAATTTCTTGGAAAAAATGGTCAAATAATAATTTATTTAATTGTGATTTTACCATATTCAAACAAAGCAGTCAAATAATTATTGATAAGATGATATTCAAACTGTTTAACAGTGAGAAAAATCGTTCATTTACTGCTTTTCCCTAATACGGCCAAACAACCAGAATTCTATAGCACCAAATAGACCCTCCTACCACTTATTTAATTGTTATTTTACCATATTCAAACAAAACAGTCAAATAATTATTGATAAGATGATATTCAAACTGTTTAACAGTGAGAAAAATCGTTTATTTACTGCTTTTCCCTAATACGGCCAAACAACCAGAATTCTATACCACCAAATAAACCCTCTTACTACTTATTTAATTGTTATTTTACCATATTCAAACAAAACAATCAAATAATTAATGATAAGATGATATTCAGACTGTTAATTGTAAGAAAAATTATTTATTAACTGCTTTTACCTGATACGGTTAAAGAACCAGAATTTTATCGAACCAACAAAGCCCTTCTACTGAAGCTACTTTGTTTCTTGAAACTGTGTACATATTATAGCCGTGAGAGCTAATCTGTCAGTCTCATGAACAACAGCACAGGAATTCGAGTCCCAACCTTGACACCACAATATTCCTTTCGACACATTTAGAGTCTCCAGGGTCCTGCACTCTCCAATTCCCATTGCCTAATGAAACGCTTAGCTCCTATATCAAGTTAAATTATTTTTACAGTTTTGGAACCATACTTGTTGTAAATGGTTCAAAAACCATATAGTTTTGTATTCAAGGTTTTTAAACCATAATAGTTGTAAATGGGCTGAAAACCGTAAAGGTAAAAAATTTTCTTTACCGCTTGTACTTTACGGTTAATCAGATGGACAGACTGCTGCCGGCTATTTTATCACAGTTATAGAATAAAAATTTAAGCAGTGCATTATGGGCAGACTATAGATGCTTAAAAGTCTTTCAAATGAAACAAAAGAGGAAAAAAGTGACTTGTAACAAATAGTGAAAAAAATTCGAAAAATTAAAACAAAACGCATTACTAATATAAGTACTGAAAAAAGCATTAAAAAATAAGGTTGTTGTTGTTGCCGTCGGCCGATAAGGCAGAGGAGGTACGATTGTGTTTGTTTTCTAGTGGTGTCATCTGTGGCCTAGAATTCGAATTCTACCAAACCCATACGTCACATCCGTTTATATGGAGGACACGTTCATACATCCATTCATTCATCCACAGATCGTAATTTTGACCTGAACTAGAAAACGATCAATCTCCAATTCACAACCCTAATAGGTATTGTTTTGTTATGGGAACACGGAGAACTTTGTGTCCCGACGGATTTAACGTGCATCAGTAACCATTTACCAGGGTGGATTAATAATTCCCGTTCCCACAAACGTGAGACCAGCGCCCTGCCAACCAGACTATCCCGGTCAAAAAAATAAGGAGTTAGACTAAACCTGTTTTCGTTCTGTAAAGCATTATTTTGTTCTTATGGCGTAATTTTTACCATACATTTAAAATATAAATCGTTAAATATGATTTTTATTAAATATTCATGGGGAAGATGTAAAGAAAAATGGAAAGGTTTACCTGCTTCAATATAGCTTGTTGAGCTTCATTGGGTCTTTGACTAGTATCATTATCTATTTCTTCCTAAAAAAGAAATTTTGTGGGTTAAATCCTGTCTACACTTAAAACTTGTATCAGATTCATATGTCTTAATTGGAGCAAAATACTCGGTAAACCAAAATAATTATACAAATTCGCATTATTTTTTTAACAATATTTATTTGTTTCATCTGATTCATAGCCACAAATGAATTAACAAATTCATGCCAGTTTTTTATCAAAATGTATTTTTAGCATTCTGTCCAAATTAGAAAAAAAAAACATGGTGATCAACATTTAAATCTGTAAAATCACATTAATTTTTTTTCGCAAATGATAGTGCGTGATAAAAAGAATAAAAAATTGCTAATAATCTTCTAGAATTCTGGTAATTTCGGCAGAATAAATATTTTTATCAATAGGCCTTGCACTGGTTATAACAATATTTTGTCCTAGGCCTCTTTCTTGACTAAAAGTATCAAAGTTGTTGGTGACTTTGTGCTAATAAAAGAAGATTATAAATAATAATAATAACTAGGAGGATTCGCCCCCTGCTCGCTGGCGCTCGCCATGCCTCGGAACTGCTTTCGCAGTTCATTTCGGATTGCTTCGCAATCCAATGCTCGTTCATTAGATAAGTTCTTAACGTCTAGCTTTTGTATACTTTTTTGAAAACTGAAGTTCCGAAAACTTTTCACTGTAGAAAAGTCTGAACCAGTGCATTTCAATATTAATTTGAAATTGCAAACAGTTCACATATTTTGTTTAATCACACTATTCTAAATTTCAGTTGTTGAGAAAAGTAACTGTTGTAAGTTTTGTTTTAAAGTCTTTCCCACCAGAGGGCTAAAGCCATGTGTTGTAAAACAATATGAAATAGTAGTCTGCCACTGAACGCCGGATGTAAAGCATCGGCTTTGATGAAGATAATTTTGTATTTTTAATTCTCTGAAGGGCGCCACCTTAATAATATGGAATTTGTAAAATAAATGTATATATTTTTGATTGTTGATGAAGCCCATCATTTTGTGTTTTCATCAGTGTTCAGAAGCAGAACAACTATAAGTTTTTTATTTTATCACAAAAATATAAAATGTATAAAAAACAAAGAAAAGAGTAAGAAAATGAGTATAGTCATAGAAAAAGTTAAAATTATAATATAGTATTTGTCAGTTAAAATAAAACTTTTTGTTTAAGTCATTGCTAACAATTCAAATTTCTCCGAGGCAATTCTAAAGTATAAATTAAGGTAGTATTGTTAAGTTGAAACACAATATTTTTAGTTTTGATGTCAACAATACAATTCAATTTTTCACAAAAACGATTGTTTCCATTGTTAAGTTCAATGTCAACAATTCAAATTTTTCTGAGGCAACTCTTAACCTCTAAATATTATTTTTTTTATGTACACATTTCTAAATGTCAGTATTCAACCACAAAACAACTTAAAGTCCTCAAATTTAGCATGAAGTTGTAAAATGTAATGAAAGAGGGTCATAGCAATAATGAAAGTAGAAGTAAAGTTAGTACTGTAAAATTAAAACAATATTTTTAATCAATGAGCCAAGTTCTTCAAGAAGCAGTTGTAGAAGTAGGTTGTTTATTTAAAACTTTTTATAGAATTTCTTTAAGAACACAATTGTTAATTTGGGCATTTGGCGATACAACACTTTTAGAATTGAAGGATTTGTTACGTCAAGCGCTCAGGTATCATAATTTTGATCTAGTTGCGCTTCTATGTCATTTTGATTTATGTTGCTAAGTTAACTTTCAAAAAATTCTATGGCTGGCAACAGCATTTTTATTTTTTAAGTTGTTTATTTTTATTTCTTTTAGAATTCGTTATTTTTTTAGCGAAATGTTTTTTAACCAAACAGAATTCTTTGCCGACTGTTTTCTCTATAAATGAAGAAAATAAATTAAATATTTAAGTGTTGTGAAAAGAATCTTATTTAGTTGTACAAAGTACTTCTTTAAAAATGAAAACTGTTGCCACCAGCGGAAAAGAAATACAGCCAAAATTTGGGAGCCACGTAAGAGAATTATACATATTAGATAAACAACAAGCATTAGTAAACAGAAAACAAATTCAATGTAAAAAGAAAAAATTGTGATCATGTGTGAAGTGTGTGACCCATTGGCAAAATGGTTGTTGTCTAATTTAATTAATTATCTCGGTAAGTTTAGGCCTTGGCATCGTTTTTTTCTTGCTTCACCTCTAACCTTTGGGACCGTGTCAATCAGTTGGGAACTTTCTTTATTTGTGATATTCACCTGAATTAGTATTGTTGTTGTTGTTCATATACGTCGCACTGGAGCTGCACAATGGGCTATTGGCGACGGTCTGGGAAGCATCCCTGNATTTTCACATCCCTGATGATGATCCGAAGACATGCCATCACAATTTTGATCCTCAGCAGATGATATGGCACCCCTTCTTGGGTAGCCCGACGACCTACGAGCGAAGTCGAGCACTTTACGGTAGAGCAGTTTAACGAGGATCCATACCGCATCACCTCGGACTCTACGCACACTGACCGCAGAGATGCTTGACTTCGGTGATCTGCTAGGAACCGTGTCTTAACGATCAGTCCACTGCGGGTCTGAATGATTAGTATTGAAAACGATCCAGTTTGAACTGTAGGTTAGAATTTCTGCTTTCTAATTGAAATAGTAAAAGCAAAACTATCGTTATAATGGTGAAACTCTCTTGTATTCACAACTCAAGAAATATTTAAGGGATCTCTCTGGTCCCATATCAACTTAATGCATAACAAAATTAAAAGTGGAAAAAAAAGAATTCTAAAAAAATTATCACACAGCAGCGGTCGCCATAACAACGCATGCAGTGACGACGCATGTGCAGTGTTTACTATAACTCTTGAACACAGTTGAAAAGTGTGATGACGTCCAAATAAGGTGTGCACGCCATCAAACCCGAAACAGCACCCATTTTGCAATGGGTAATAAACCGCATTAATTACTATGCTAATTAGGATTTTCTACAATGGGAGAAATTACAAGATTAGTTTGGATTTTCTACCATGGGAAGTCAAAGAAACTGTCTAGGATCGCAGAACTGCAGTAGACACAAGCAGAATGAACAGTTCAAACACTCTGTTCATAAATTATAAAATGTAGTGAAACCTGGTGGTTTACAAGGCCAAGTCAATTTCTATTGCTAAAAACCGAATTTGTCCAAAATAATAAAGGGAGTGATTTTAATCCTTGCTTTTTTATGATCAACTTCGATAATTATTCGTCAGGGATTTTTTTTTTCCTTTCTCACTCGGATTATAATTTGGAGGAACATTAAATAAGCCTAATTTTTGAAAATATACCAAAAATGAATATAAAGATAAAATATATATAAAAATAAAGTGTACATAAAGATAAATGACGGATGTTCCAAAAGTCAATCGGAAACTTTTCTATCTGTTTGAAAAACGAAAAAATGTCAAGTTTTAAAAAATTCTAAAAAAAAAATAACACTATTTCTTAGAGCAGGAAGATAAAGCAAACGAAATTAACTCGTTACTCTTTGCGTTACTCGTTACTTTAACTATTTAGGCTTATAAAAATGTTGTTTTATATAATACTAGGAGGCTCCGCCCCCGGCTCGCTGACGCTCGCCAACCCCCGAGAATTGCTACGCAATCCTATGTGGTTCACGCCGTGAACCATGGCTCGCTGCGCTCGCTCGCCAATGAACACGATGTTCTAGCACAAAGACATAGTATATTATCATCAAAGACATAGTATTTTACCATCAAAGACATAGTATTGTACTTATGTAGAAGAATTCTACCAATGTTCTTATTGGCTTTTAAAAAAGTATATTAGCTATTTAGATTGTACATGGTGAAAAAATCAAAACATTAGCTAAATAAGAAACATATTAGCAAAATAAATTATCAAATATTGCTTCACTAATATTCTGCATTTTAAAGCGTGAAAATTCAATGCATAAATAAACGCGAAATATAAAAAAATTCAATGCATTCAATACAAACACTTAAACGTTTTTTAGACGTTTAGGTAGCTCCCAGTAGAAAAATATCAATTCAACAGCGGCCTTTTAAAGCATTCTCACTTCAATTAATTAATTAATTCCTAATTGAGTTTAAATTAAATATTGTCATGTTTTTAGTGCATGAATCTGAATTGAACAACCTGATAATGCTCACTCTGGTTATTGTTTCCGTTTTTAAAAGCGCTATATGTTGAGCCACCCATGTGACATTTGCCATGTGACATTTTTAGCAGCAATCATTGGTCGATTTTCTAACGTTGCCATTCGGGGAGTTGTAATGAGGCTTTTTTTTTGGTGCCGTGTAAGAGAAATATATATATAGATGATTTGATTTCCCAACATCTTTTATAAGGTTATTATACTCGATATTTTAATGCCTACCGAGGATAGATTAGGAGAAACATCAGTGTTCGGAGTACCGGTTAAATGCATACTGGGAGCTGGCACTTGACCTTAAAAAAACATTGATTTAGGTCATGCCGGGCACTTGCACTGCATTTTGTTTTAAATTCCATTTCACATTAAAATTAGGAATGCATTCTTGATTTTCGACGACGTTTCATTTTTTTTGTAATTGCTCAAGAGGACAAACCATTTCATTTTCTCCTTCGTAAGTATAGAGAAAATTGAGTACACCATGAAATGCTTGCATCCTATCATTGCATTTTGAAAATATTTGAAACTTCACTTACTCTTCCTATACTTGAAATTACGTAAACATTCTTTCGTTTCTACAATCAAATGTTAGTTCACAAATATTAATAAACTAGCCGCCAAAGGCGACCAGCTGTCCGCGACGCTAAAGGTTTTCACAAATAAAGTTTTTTAAAACATAGCAGGAAATCTGAAGATTAGTGGACAATTAAAGTGTTCCTGTCATGCAATTTTGTCTTCATATCCAGTTCTGCTGCAGATGTATTATAGCTCTTGAGGATGTTTGAAGATGTAACTTTGCTATAGTAACCTAAGGCCTATGGTAACCTAACCTATAATATAACTATCAGGTGGAGAC